CCCGCCACAACGCCCGGCTATTTTTTGGGTGCAGCCATTATTGTTGTTTGGCAGGTCTGGGCTGGATTCAAACCCGCCACCTTAGGTGTATGTGGCTGGTGCCTTAGCTGCTTGAGCCACAGGACTGAGCCAACATAGGTGAATCTTAAAGCCATGCTAAGTTAAATAAAGCCAGATATAAAAGGACAAATTCTACTTATATAAGGTACCTGGAGTAATCAATTCACACAGAGAGAAAATGGAAGAGTAGTTGCCAAAAGCTAGGGGAGAAAAGGAAAAGGGAAGTTGTTTAATGGGTGTAATATGTTTTGCAAGATGTAAAAGTTCTGGAGATCTGTTGTATAACAGTGTGAATATATGTAATCCTACTAAATTATATATTTTAAAAGGGTAAGATGGTAAATGTTATGTGTTTTACACCACGGTAAGAAAAAATTAATAATAGAAAGTGTTTTCACTTTTAAAAAAAGTGAAAAGTGATTGAGGTTTCTTGATAGGACGAGAGTCTGGGATATAGTGGGATATAGTTGTTTTTTTTGAGGCAGAGTCTCACTGTCACCCAGCAACCTCAAACTCTTGGGCTTAAGCGATTCTCTTGCCTCAGCCTCCCAAGTAGTTTAGACTACAGGCATTCACCACAACACCTGGCTTTTGTTGTTGTTGTTGTTGTAGTTGTCATTGTTGTTTAGCAGGCCTGGGGTGAGATTGAACCCAACAGCCCTAGTATATGTGGCCAGTGCCCTAACCATTGACATACGTGTGCCGAGCCTGGGATAGAGTTTATCTAAGTGACTAAAAGAAAAGAACTAGATGTGATGGTCATGTAATACTAAGTAGTTAAATCTGATTTAAAAAAAAAAGTAATAGTAAAATATTATAACTATTATTTTTATTGAGAATCTGCTGGGTTTTATGCATTATACTAGTAAGAGGACCAATGACTCCCATTCTTGCACAAATAAATAAATAAAATTATAGTAAAAGAAAATAAAGGTATGCTCAGTGGCATAAAGCTAAAAGTTCTAAAAGAGAGCACTTCTATAGAAAAAGGATAAAACAAATTCTAGGGGACAGCATATTTGTCCAGTCTTCCAATATACCTTTCTGAGGATGTGGGTATATTTCTAGATTCAAGGGGGGGGGGAGCTATAACTTCATGGAGAGTTGAGGCATAAGCATTCTTTCACTGTTTGGCCATGTCAGGATAGGGGAAGCTTTAGTAGTTTTCCAACAGTTCTAGAAGGCTGATGGGTTTGCAGTGTTTCTAACAAGTGGGAGATTGGTAAGGATTTAGCTCTGAAAGCTAATGATAATCTGTATACTGAGCCCCTTCCTTTAAGCCTTGGCTCTCCACTGATGTTGCCCTGTATACCCTTGTCTCATCTTCTGTTCATCTTCCTTGGTCTGGACATCTAGACTGCCTGTGTAAGTGGAGTCAGGTTGGCTGTGTTCAAATCTAACCTTCCCACAGATTGCAAAGTGATCTTTTCCAGTTGTGTGATCATAATGTACTTCCTTTTCTTTATTTGTAAAATAGGAACACTAATCATAGTTACCTCCTGAGGTTATTGTTAGGTGCCTCACATAGACCATTGTCAGGCACATGCTAAGGGCTTTATAGATGAGTGTTCCACTTATGAGGGCTACATGAGTGTTTCTGCTCATTGCCACCATCATCAGCACCATTATTACATGACTCAGCAATTTTCCTGTATTCAATGTCAATTAGCTCCATGTGTTTTCTCCTCTATCCTGTTCATTATGTCTGTTTCATCTTCCCTTTTTCCTTCCAGAAGGGAAGTTTGTGCTCATAACCCCACAACAGGAAATTCCTGAGAAAGCTTCTATGGTGGGTGAGGTCACAAGAGATGGTTCCATTATAGAAGAACTGTGGTGGGAAGCTGACCAAACAAAGAGAGATCAGCAAAATCAAACTCCACTCACATGTCATGGTGGTGTCTTCAACAAGAAAACATTGAACACAGAGAGAAATCATGAAGATAAGGACTCTGGGAAAATCATTCACATAAGGCCCCACCTTCTTCCTTCACAAAGATCTCAGAAATGTTGCTCATTTGCAAAAAGTTTGAAGCCTAACCCAAAAGTAAATGGTCAGAATGAAAGTAGTGCTACAGCACAACTTGATGACATTGTTGAGTGTGATCAGCTATTCACCCAGACCTCTTACATGGCTTATAGCAAGAATATTCATACAGGAGAGAAATTCTGCAAAGATAATCAATGTAGAAAAATTTGTGGCCATAAACAGTCACTCACACAACACCAAATTGATGCTCAGGAGAAGCGCAGTGAGTCTACTGAATGTACCCAGATATCACACCTCCTCATCCAGCAGGGGATTCATAATGTAAAAAGCATTCATGAATGCAGCAAATGTGGAAAAGCTATCACCCTACAACAAAAACTCAGTGTGTATCTAACAGAACATACAGATAATGTACCCTATGTATGTAAGGAATGTGGGAAGGTCTTTATACAGAAATCAGAATTAATTACACACCAGAAAGCTCACACCAGAAAGAAGCCCTATAAATGCCATGAATGTGGAAAAGCATTTTTCCAGGTGTTATCTCTCTTTAGACATCAGAAAACTCACAGTAGAGAAAAACTCTATGAATGCAGTAAATGTGGGAAAGGCTTTGCCCAGAACTCGACCCTCACCATACATCAGAAAATTCATACAGGTGAGAGACAGTATGCATGCAGTGAATGTGGTAAAGCCTTCACCCAGAAGTCAACACTCAGTTTGCACCAGAAGATCCACTCAGGGCAGAAGGCCTATTTGTGTATTGAATGTGGGCAGGCCTTCATCCAGAAGGCACACCTGGTTGTACATCAAAGAAGTCACACTGGAGAGAAGCCTTACCACTGCCACAGCTGTGGGAAATCCTTCATTTCCAAGTCACAGCTTGACATACATCATCGAATTCATACAGGGGAGAAACCTTATGAATGCAGTGACTGTGGAAAAACCTTCACCCAAAAGTCACACCTCAATATACACCAGAAAATTCATACTGGTGAAAGACACCATGTATGCAGTGAATGTGGGAAAGCCTTCAACCAGAAGTCAATACTTAGCATGCATCAGAGAATTCACTCTGGAGAGAAGCCTTACAAATGCAGTGAATGTGGGAAAGCCTTCACTTCTAAGTCTCAATTCAAAGAGCATCAGCGAATTCACACAGGTGAGAAACCCTATGTATGCACTGAATGTGGAAAGGCCTTCAACGGCAGGTCAAATTTCCATAAACATCAGATAATTCACACTAGAGAGAGACCCTTTGTCTGCTACAAATGTGGGCACGCTTTCATCCAGAAATCAGAGTTGATCACCCATCAAAAAACTCACATTGGAGAGAAACCTTATGAATGCCATGACTGTGGAAAATCATTCAGTAAGAAACCACAGCTCAAGGTGCACCAGCGAATTCACACAGGAGAGAGACCTTATGTGTGTTCTCAATGTGGGAAGGCCTTCAACAACAGGTCAAATTTCAATAAACACCAAACAACTCACACCAGAGACAAAACTTAAACTGTAGTTATTCTGTGAAAGGCTTTACCAAGAAATCAATTCCTAGTGCATCAGCATATTCATAAATGAAATATACTCCCTGAGTCTCTAATTGTCTGTGATAGATTAGTGCTTCAGAAAAACTTTAGGGATACTTTGCATGTGTTAAACACATCATGAAGTCACACATTATCTTATATAAGGGAAATTACTCAGAAAAGAACTTTTAAGAATAGGAAATATCCTTATTTGTACTTGCCTCATCAAGGATTTCATCCAGGGAAGAAATCCTGACTACTGCATTGAGAAAAACCGTTCTGTAGGAAATAGTACAGGACAGATTACTACCAGACTATTTATAGGAAAGTCTTGTTTACTGTGGGATTTCAATATTTTTAAGTGCCAGCAAAGTAATGATAGGACAATATTATGTACATACACGGTTGTCTTATGTATACACATACTCTATTGAATATGCCTTAACTAAAATGCTTGAGACCAGAAGTGTTTTGGATTTTTTTTTGGATTTTGGAATATTTGCATTATACTTACTGGTTGAGCATCCCTAATCTGGAAATCCCAAACTCAAAATGTTACAATGAGCATCTCCTCTGAGTATCATCTTGGCACTCAAAAATGTTTCTTTCAAATTTTTGGAGCATTTTGGATTTTCAAATTAGGCATATTCAACCTATATGGATATTTATATCTCTGTATATATTTATATACAGATTTATATGTATATGGTCTGCTCAGTATATATGCATTATGTGTGTATGTATGTATATCTATGTATGCCCTCTGTTCAGTAGGGTTTGCTGAAGAATTCACTACCAGGAAGTATAGGTAGATTATGGTTATTTTATTAAAGAATCTAATGTGATTGTGTTTATCAAATTTATTCACTATTGAATATTTTGTATCATGAGGTACCATCAATAATTATTAATTCATTTATTATGAGACACATGAATATACAGTATAGTTTTTGGTTAATGCATAAATGAGATTCTATATTGTTTTTTGTTCGTTTGTTTGTTGAGACAAAGTTTCACTTTGTCGCCCTCAGTAGAGTACTGTGGTGTAACAGCTAACAGCAACCTCTGCTCTTAGGCTTAGGCAATCCTCTTGCCTCAGCCTCCTGAGTAGCTGGGACTACAGGCACCCAACACAGCACCGGGCTATTTTTTGTTGCAGTTTGGTTGGGGCCGGGTTTGAACCTGCCACTCTTGGTATATGAGGGTGGGTGCCCTACTCACTGAGCCACAGGTGCTGCCCAAGATTCTATATTGTATCCTGTCTTTATACTGAAGCTTTTCTCTTCTTTTATGGTTAACTCAGCTCTACTCTCCCTTTTATTCCAGTCTCCACTGTCTATGGTGGTCCTCTTCATAATCAGGGCCAACCCTTTAGTCTGGACTTGTTCATATTTTTATACAAGCTGCTAGTTATACACAAAAGAGTGAGAAAACTATGGCCTCTGGCCAAATCTGGCTTAGCAATTATTAATTTTTTTTTTTAGAATAAAGTTTTATTGGAACACGGCTGTGTTCATTTGGATATGTATTATCTGGGGCTGCTTTCATGCTTTACTGGCAGATTGAAGTAGTTGTGGCAACTGTTGAGATCATATGCATATGGCCCCCAAGTTGAAAATGTTTACTATCTAGCTCTTCACAGAAGTTTGACAACTAGGGTTGTTGGTGACCACCTCCAATACCTTTCCTTATTTGGAAAGGACTTCCAGTGGACTAAGATCTTCCATACACACATGATATACACACATAGGCACACACACATTATTTCGCCTAGAAAGGTTACATAACTTGTTGGTTACACAATGAGAAGATGGTACTCCCAGAATCTGAACCAGGCATGGTGGTCCAGGAGCTTCTGCCCTTAACCATGGCATCTCCTGACAATAGCTTCCAGTTTCTGAGCTTTGTGTTTACTGGGGTGCAGAATACAGGAGACAAGAAAAAAAGTTAGGAGCAGTTCAGGAAGGCCCTGGGACACCTGCTCTGTACTGTGTCTTATGCCCAGCAATGCTGGGGGCCCAGATTAAAATCCAACTGAACTGGTAAGATGGCTTATGCCTATAATCCTAGCCCTCTGGAAGGCCAAGGTGGGAGGATCACTTGAGGTCAGGACTTTGAGAGCAGCCAAGACCAAGACCTCGACCTCATCTCTACTAATAATGGAAAAATTAGCCAGGCATGGTGATACTCAGAGGCTGAGGCAGGAGGATTGCTTGAGCTTCGGAGTTTGAGGCTGCAGTGAGTTATGATGACACCACTGCACTCTAGTCCAGGCAACAGAGCAACAGGCTATCTCGGGAAAAAAAAAATCCAACTGAAGTCCCAGAGGCAGTTTATTAACCAGTGCTGTGGAGAGGGAGGTCCAGTAGGCTTTCCAAAAGAGGCACATCCCAAGTGGCTACCTAGAGGGAGACAGGTAGCATGGTTGGTGAGAGGAAATAGTCTTAAGGAAAAAAACATGTGAAAACACTTGGCAGAAAAAGTTACTTTTCTGGCAGATGGGAGTGTGCCAAAAGTTCAGTGGTAAGATATGAAGCTGGGAAAGTCATCAGGGGCCAAGTGGAAAATGCCAGGATAAAGGACTTGAGGACTTGACTCTTTAAGTCAGTGGTTCTCAACCTTCCTAATGCCTCCTAATGTCATGATTCTTTAATACAATTCCTCATGTTGTGGTGACCCCCAACCATAAAATTATTTTTGTTGCTACTTCATAACTAATTTTGCTACTGTTAGGAATCGTAATGTAAATATCTGATATTCAGGATGTATTTTAATTGTTACAAAGGGGTTGCAACCCACAGGTTGAGAACCGCTGCTCTAAGTGATAAGACAGTACAGATAATCTCCCCAGAAGCCCCGTGCCAACAACCCAAGGTCATTTTCTCCAGAATATTAACGTGAAAAATAAAATGTCTGCAAAGTATCTGTGAGAAAGCTGCCCAAACCATGCCAGCTTTTTACAATGAGAAGCCTGAAATGGTATAGGGAAAATGCAGAGCACAATGTCTGGCACAAGCTAACTGCTCATTGAGTGTTGTTATTTTCCCCTATGTCCTTGCAGTGCTTGTAACCTCTGGGCTCCTGCAACCCTTAAAATCTGGCACCCTCACAGTAGTTCTTCACTATCTCCTGACCAAGCTAGGACAGGGGCTCCCACACAGCAAATAATATTGAGTCCAGATCACTAGAATTCAACCTTCAAAGCAGATTCAAGACACCCAAGCCATGTCTCTTACCACACTTCACTCAGTCCTAACCAAGGGCATCACAGGATCAGAGACAAGATCTAAGAATATATGGGCTAGTTTGGGGAGCTGATGGCTTGGATCTGACTATCAGGGCTCCAGTGGCTTCTTGGGAGGATACTTGGTTTTGAGAGCTTGTCTCACTTGTCTCACCTGCCCTCCATCCTGACATCTATGTATCTTTTGGTCCACTCTGAGGTTTCCCATCTTCACAACTCCACTCACACCATGGAAGTGAGTTTTGACTTCTAAACAGTTAATTTCAACCCCATGGGCCTCCCATGTTCAGTTGTAAATCTCTCTTTACCCTACACCCATTTTCCCCTGACCTTGCCTGGCCTGCTCTACCCCTCACAGCAATTCTTTCTATCACGTGGTCCACTGAGGCCACAGAATCTTTTCCTCAGTATGAATAGTTACCATTCATGTAGAATACAGGTAAACTTAGAACTTATTTCTGTGACTCCCTTGGTTCCATAATATAACTTCCCAACTAGCCTCCTAATAGATACATCATTTCTTCATTCAAGCTGGATCAGAAGTTTGGTATAGAGCAGTATTTTTCAACCATTTTTAATCTCATGGCATGCTTGAACCTATAGTTGAACTTAATGTGGAACACTTAATTATGTTGATCAAAAAAAAAAGAAAAAAGAATATACTTACAGGGCTTTGAACTTTTTTGTTGTTGTTGTTGTTGCAGTTTGGCTGCGGCTGGGTTCAAACCCATCACCTTCCATGTATGGGCCTGGTGCCCTACTCACTGAGCTGCAGGAGCTGCCCTGTGCCTTGAACTTATTTAGAAAATAATTTAATTAATGATTTGTATAATTTTTCACAGCACACCAGCTGAAAATCACTGGTATAGAGCAAGGCACAGAATAGGGTCACAAATCGTATCCTGTATCCCAGGGCTCCATAACAGTACAAAGAGGGGCAATGCACTCTAAAGTGAGGGTAGGAAGGGCTGAGCCTCACACAGAGATTTTCTGGAAGGAGTGAAGGTAGAATCAACTCTGACAGGCAAAGGACCCAGTGGCCTGTGAGAAATGGATCGTCTCTCTGAAGCTCGTCCTCTCCTCTCTAAAATGAGGTAGCTGTCAGTGGGAGACTGAGGAGGAGTTTGGATGCCCTCTGACTAGCACCTCCTTCTCGAAGGATAGAATGTCTCCAATCCTATTCCTGAACTGTCTTACCTCTGCATCTGAGACAGGCCAGAGTGCTGCCCCCAGGTGGCGCTCCAGCCGCCAGCCCTACCTGGGCAGCAATTAGCCGCTGGTTTGGCGCTGTCCGTGGTTCTGGAGCGAATTGAGCTCTGAGTTCAGGAAACTCCACAACTGTGGACTCAAATACACAGAGCCAAGGTCCTGAGCCTTGGTCAACATGGTACCTAAGTCAGAGGCTTTGAAAAGTCTGAGTACCCTCACCTGAAAGAGGAGTTAGGGTAGGGACTCGTCCCTGTCTTTTTCCTCTTACTCCCTCTTGTTGACCTAAAGATCATACTTTTGAACTGTGATGCCAACCTGGCTAAGTGACTGGAAGGGAAAAGATAGTTTTCTGAGGTTCCAGATTACGCTGATGTTGCTGGTTTATGGGCCAAAGTGTAGTCCATAACTGGATCTCCCCTTAGATAAAGGACTAGGGAAAATATTGATTGACGCTATCGGAGTTCTAGACTCAGGGCTATACCTTTCTATATATTGTACCATTTATTCCTCACAATCAATTTCAGGGAGGCTTGGCTAATAATTCTAATTTTTCAGACTATGAAACTGAGACTTGATGTGGTAAGTGACCTTCACAGTGTCTCACATCATTGGTGCACATTTTGGGGCAGGGATTGCAAACAACCATACCTGGCACCATGGGAAAGTCACCTGAATCCCCCTGTACTGGCTTCCCCAAAGACCCAGAAGAGCAAATGACACACAGGGAAGCTTTTGTGTTTAAAAGGTATGGACTATCAGAGAAAATCCCAGGACTGGTGGTGGATGCAGGAGAAATGCTCCCTGGAGGGGGGAGCTAAAGGGATTAAGGTCATGTCTCCAGGGACCAACCACCATCTTTGGACTAGTGGAAACAATGGACTTGCTTTCTATTAGTGAGGAGTGATTTCACTTAGCATTTTCCACTGGAAGGTCCCCAGAGGAGGAAGGTCCCCAGTAAATTCTTATATGTAAATAGTTACCAAGTTATTCAGGACACCACTGAGAAGTAAGACTTCAGTGTGGCCCGCAGAGAGGGTAGCCTGTGGAGAATGTTAGACCAGCTTTTCTTTTGGAGAAGCAGGGAAAAAGCTGGACATGAGAGCAAAAAATGTGCAGAGATTGGTGATAGTAACAAGAAACGTTGATAAAACATATTTACTCCCCATTCTGGACTGGAAGCTATGTTAGTTGTTTTTACATTGCGTGTTTTCTCATTGCAAATAGCAATATAGGAACCTTCCTTGTAAAATAAGTGACATTTAGGGAGAGGTTGAGCTACTTAAAATATTCACATATGGTGAGATTTTCCCCAAGCACTGTGCCAGGGGCTGGAGATTGAAGAGCAAACAAAGCAGATGTGGCATTAACTTCAGAGTAAAGCAGGGCATTGCATGGTGCCCCAGTTTCCTCATCTGGGGGACTGTTGTGAGGGTGGGGTAGGGCTTTGGAGACCTGGACTGCCCCATATCTGTCAGGACTAACATCCTTTCAGCATTCATCAACCCTATCCTTACCTCCCCTCACTATATGACAGGCCCTGCCAGCCCTCTTGGCCTGTAATCAGGCAGATCCTCTGACTGGCATGCTCTTTCCCTGATCCCTATGATATAATAATCATTCTATCCTTGCACTTTAGGTGCATATATTGTAAAGAAGGCATAGTTGCTGTATTAATCCAAGCTGACTCTCTGTTTTTAATAAAAGCACTTATATAATCATTTTTAGTGTGCTACCAACTCCACCTTACTTTATTACTCCATTCTTGTTGTTGTTGTTGCAGTTTTGGCACTGGCCCCATATACCGAGGGTGGCAAGTTCAATCCCGTCACCCTCGGTATATGGGGGTGGTGCCCAACTCACTGAGCCACAGGTGCCGCCCTATCTCTCCATTCTTGTTTTTCTTTTCTTAAGTTTACAAAGTTAAGAAACTTTGTAAGGAAGTTTAGTAATAAAGAGGCAGCTGTGGTATAGTGAATTCTTTTTTTTTTTTTTTTCATTCACTGAAGGATATCTGAGTTAATTCTGGCTTTGGGAGATCATAATTGAAGTTGCCGTAAATGTCTGCATATGAGTCTTCATGTTGATATGAATGAGTGAGTTTTTTAAGTCTGTTGCAACAGTGCCCCATAAACTGAGAGGTTAAAGATAACAAAAACATGTTTTCTGGAGTTTTGGAGGCTAAAAGTCCCAAATCAAAGTGTCAACATGCTCTGTTCCCTCTGAATCCTGGGGGTGGGCAGTGGTCCTTCCTTGACTTTTCAAGCTTCTGGCATTGTCTGGCCGTCTTGTTGCTGTCCCTTATCCTGTATCCATCACTCCCATCTCTGTCTCCCTTGTCACATGGCTATCTCTCCCTGCATGCCCTGTCTTACTGTAAAAATATCAGTCATATGGGATAAAAGGCCCAGCTGACTCCAGTATAACCTTATGTGAAATATTCATCTCTACAACAACTCTATTTTCCCATAAGCTCACATTTAGCTGTACTGGATGTCAAGATGTGCTAGTCTAAGTTTATGGGGAAATTGCCATGAAGAAAATAGCAATGTACAACTAGAAAAATTTTTCTGAAGAAAAATTGTCACTGATAAAGAGAAGTCAGGGTGGACAGCAATGAGCAGAACTGATGAAAACATTGCAAAAATTCATCAGATTTTGTGTTGAAATCATCAGCTGACTGTGAGAAGCACAGCGGACTAAGTAAATACTGATAGAGAAACAGATGGTAAAATCTTAACTGAAAATCTTTGTCAAGAGCTCTTGGCTTTTGCATCACAGCAATGCACTAGCTCACACAGCTCTGTGAGGCAGTGTGTAGCCAGTAAGTAAAAACTGTACGGGAACACCATCCCTACTCACCTCACCTGATCTGGCCTCCAGGGAATTTTTTCTTTGCCCAAGGATAAAAGAAATATTGAAAGGAAGACATTTTGATGACAGTCAGGACATCAAGGATAATATGATGATGGCTTGGATGACCATTTCAGAAAAAGAGCTCTAAAATTTCTTTGAAGGGTGGGGTAGGCATTGACTGGCATAGGTGCATAGCTTCCCAAGGGGAGAACCTAGACGGTCACTGTAGTGATACTCAGCAATGAGTTATGTGGCACTTTTCCTAGGATGAGTTCATGAACTTAATTGTCAGAATTCTTACTACTATCCTTTACACAGGCAGCTGGAGGTGCTATTGTTTTGTCACAGATTTTTGTCTATTTTTTTTTGCATTGAAATATTAAGCAATAATAATAATGCAAAGAAAGTAACATTCACATTGTCAAATTAGAGTATTTCTATTACAGAATGCTTTGACTCTGAGATTCAGTATGGATTCATCAATTAACTTCGTGTTATTATTTTTTTAGTCTCAAAAAATAAACAACTAATATTTATAAATAAAAGTGAAAGATAATTTCAAAAAAAAGATCATGCCAAATCTTACAGACAATAGAAAAAGGAGAAATACTTCAAAATCATTCTACTTGATCTGGATACACCTGATAATAAAATCAGAGAAAACACTGTACCCCAGAAGTGCATTAATGTACATAGTTACCATTCAATTAAAAAAAAAAAACTAAAGAAAAGAAATACGTAGTTTTCAAGCTCAAGCTCTTAGGAAGAAAAAAAAATCAGAGAAAATATATTATTATAAAAGGGAGATTACAAACTTATTTCACTTATAAATGAGGATGCAATATCCTAAACAACATATTAACAAGTTGAATTAACAGTGAATTCTTATAACTAGGTTATGTTATATATTGTGATTGTATTCTTTTAGTCATTACAATAAAAATTACAGCATGCATAATTATCAAAGTCTTTAGTGAATGAAAACCTCTCTATCCTCCTAGATAATATATGGATATTGGGAAATGTGAAGTACACTTACTCCCCTTTATATTTAGCTGTTATTATTGTCAGGAATTCTAAAACTATCTCTTGCTTTTATTCTACAAGTAATAAATCTCCACATTTATTTACTCCAAAAGATCTTTGTTACATCCTCATTTTGACTTATCTTAACTGAGTATGTATTATAAACTGATGTTAGAGATAGTATTTTTTTTTTTTTTTTGAGACAGAATCTCACTTTGTCGCCCTCAGTAGAGTGCTATGGGCGTCGCAGCTCACAGCAACTTCTGACTCCTGGGCTTAGGCAATTCTTTTGCCTCAGCCTCCTGAGTAGCTAGGACTACAGGTGCCTGCCACAATGCCCAGGTATTTTTTGTTGCAGTTTGGCCAGGGCCGGGCTCAAACCCGCCACCCTCGGTATATGGGGCTGGCGCCCTGCCCACTGAGCAACAGGCGCCGCCCAGTTAGAGATAGTATTTGCTTTCTTCCACTCTCCATAATTGCTACTGATAATTTAGCTGTCAATTAAATGCTTGTTATTTGAAGGTAATTTGCCTTTTTTCTCTGTTTGCTGTTCAGATTTTCTCCTCATCTTTGGTTTTCTTTGATTTACCCTTACCTCGATATAAACTCAATGTGAGGAAGATTTCCTATGACAGTTCCAACCTTTGGCTAGGCCACACATAAGACCATAGAACTAAAATTCACATTTTCAGCATGGGCAAATGCCCTTGGGAATCTTGACATTTGGCTTAGATATCCTGCTCAATTCTCTGGGTTTCAGCTTTCCCTTAAATTTTGATCTGGTAAGTTCTCATTTTCATTTTACATATTCTGTACTTTTTGAGTGAAGGATTTTTTTTTTTCTGTTTATTTTGTTTTTTCAACATAATCTTGATGGAATTGATCTCAACTCACCTCCTGTGTTATTGAAAGTGGGGGTATCTGGGTATGGGGGATCAATATTCTCTCAGCAGCACAGTGAAATTATCTACTTCTTTCCTCATGGTCACTTTCTAAAGTTTAGAAAATATAACATTGTCATTAATCTGGGTTTGGACACTGCTGGAGAATTTTTGGCTGTTTTGTACAACTTTACATGAGGAAGAAAATGAGCTTTTTCTTCAGTCCACCCTTTCAACCCAAGACCATCCATGAATTCATGTTTGAAGCACAAGGGAATGCAAGCCAACAAAGCGAGGTGACTTGGCTTCCTGAAAGGGGATCTCAAATTGCAAAGAATGTGGCATGAACCAGCATGGAAAGGTTTAAGGAAGGGAGGGCTACGAGGAAAGGATGAATGAGTGGACAGCAAGGAGATTATGAAAGTTTTAAATGCCAAGGGGCAGTGTTTGTGATGTGTTGTCTAAGCCAGGGAGCCATGAACGGGTTTGGGCAAGAAAGAGTCAGCATTGGCTCTTTGGCTTTTAGAAAGCTCCTTGTGGGTGCCATGAATGAGGAGAAAGACTAGAGGTGAGGGAATATTCTGGAAGGATTGACAAGTAAAAGTGGGGCAAAGGGATGACCATGGAGAGGATATAAGATGCTATATCATGAACCAAATGCCAGGGAGAGGGGTGGTCTTTCCTAGGGACTCTGTGAAGCGTTCTGGGGAGGGGGGATGATGCCAACACATTGCTGCCTTGTTTTCCATGCCTGGTCACCACCAGCCTTAGGACAACTTCCCAGCAGGACCTTTCTGTTTGAGGAGTAGAGACTAGCAATGCACACTAGGACTTCTGTTGTATGATTTGCATGTGGTTGATTTCTTTAATATTCACAACAGCTTTTGAGGTAATACATACAATCTCTGGTTACAGAACAGGAAATTGAGGCTCAGAGAGATGAGGTGAGCTGGTTGATAACAATGCTGTAGAGAACACTGGAGCCTGAGCTTGAGCCCGTATCTCTAATTCTGTCATCCTCTTTCTACTCTACCTGGGAACACTTGTACAGTAGTTACTGTTAATATTGTCACAAGGCTCTGGGTGCTTCGGCACAGGACCCCACTGGTCCTTTCCTCCCACCAACTGGGATTGAGTTCTGGGAGAGTTCTCAATTGCTTGGCTTGATCTCTGAGTACTCTGTGGTGCATGTGGCCTTCTGGTCCTGAGGCTCCCTGGCCTTCATCTCTTGAAAGCTGACAGAAGCATAATAGAGGTCCTGCTCTCCCAAGGGGTGGGTGTCCCTCACAGGGGACTCTTGGTCTGGAGGGCTGTCTGGACAGGGCTTTTGCCTGGAACCCTGAGAAAAGGGGAGAGAAAGGAGTCATAGTAGGAATAAAGAGGCAGCTGTAGTATAGTGAATTCTTGTAATTTTATGTTGCCTCAATGTTCATTTAGGATAGAGTTGGACTTCCTCATACCAGCAGCAGGGTTAGTCACCTTTGACAGTTTCTACTTCTCTACCTTTCCAAGTTCTTCAAGGTGGTTAATTCAGAATTTTGTCCTGTACAACCACCTTCTGCTGACCACCTCCCTACAGGACAGCTGAACACAATCATACCTGACTTGGCCCCAGCTCCTACACATCATATGAGCTGTACAACTATGCTGTCATGACCACCTCTTAGGCACAATGTGACTCCACAGAATTCATGCCTGCCTGCTCTAAACCCCCCAATTATAGTTTCCTGTGGGAAGCCTGCTTGGGTAATGCCCAGGACTCTAATTAAGGATTTGGCTACAGGTTCCCCTTGCCTTTTCCCCCACCTACTGGTTGAGTATGTGTGTCTCAGATGGCACTGGCATTGTGACAGGTGCTGCCTTCTTCTCTCTGGGACCTATAAGTAATAAACTGCTTCTGTTACTTCATATGTTTTGTTGTGTTGCCTCCTGTGTCTCACCTGACTGACACACCCTAACCTAAACTCTCCTGTTCAGAGCTCTCCTAGAGAAAAGAAATAAACTGGATGCAGATCACACAAGAGACTTGAGAGCATCTGCAGTATAAACAAGTTGCTTGTGAGAGAGATGCCTGGTCACAGGCTGAACAACTAAGCTTTATGATAAAGAAGTATTCTGTGAGTGGCACATTGTAGGTATTCATGACAAAATCCTTTGTATTCTCATTTAGGCAGGGCTAGAGTTTATGACCACTCTCCAGAAAGAGACCTCAAGACCAAATTAGTGGAAAATATAACACCTGGTCCCCAAAAGGAAGTTGGGATGCTGTACCATTTATCCCTTCATCCTTTTACTCCTGTGAAGTTAACTATTTACTCATCCATTTAAAATTTATCAGATCATATTGAGGCTTTACTAATCACATCAAATCCTCACCAAAAATAAAACAGTATGAAAGATACTGTAATTATCCTTACCTTAAAGACAGGGAAACTGAGATGGAAAGAGGTTAGGCAGCTTGCTCAAGGTCTCTCACCTAATAAAATGGTGGAGCCAGAATTCAACCCAGCCTATCTCCCCTATGCAAGGTCCTAGGATAGGAGCCAAGTGTACAGTGAGACACAGACACTGACCAAGGCAGCTTAGAGCCTGCTAGGAGGGGTGGATTACAGATTAGGCAAATTTCTACCTTCAGCATACATTACAAGTTTTTTTGAGTGCAAACTAGAAAACAGATGGCAATTCTGGATCCTGACCCAGTTCCATAAAACAAAAACAAAATGGAACAGAACCCAAGTTCCCCAGCAAAGATGGCACTTCACATATATATATAGAGAGAGAGAGAGAGACAGAGTCTCACTATGTCACCCTCAGTAGAGTGCTGTGGTGTCACAGCTCACAGCAACCTCCAACTCTTGGGCTTTAGCAATTTTCTTGCCTCAGGCTCCCAAGTAGCTGGGACTACAGGCGCCTGCCACAACACCTGACTATTTTTTGTTGCAGTTGTCATCATTGTTGTTTAGCAAGCCTGGGCTGGGTTTGAACCCGCCAGGCTGGGTGTATGTGGCCAGCGCCCTAACTACTGACCTATAGGCACTAGGCCAAAGATGGCATTTTAGACACTAAAAAGAAATTCCCTTCCCTCTCCCACCTCTGCCCACCCCCCTCCCCTTCATGCTATGGAAATGGATGTTGGAACCATGCACAGCGGCTAATGCCTGTAATCCCAGATTCTGGGAGGCTGAGAAGGGAGGATTGCTTGAGCTCAGGAGTTCAAGACCAGCTGAGCAAGAATGAGACCCCATCACTATTAAAAATAGAAATAACTAGCCAGGTATTGTGGCACGTGCCTATAGTCCCAGCTACTTGGGAGGCTGAGGCAGGAGGATCACTTGAGCCCAAGAGTTTGAGGTCACTGTGAGCTATGATAATGCCACAGCACTCTATCCATGGTGACAGAGTGAAACTCTGTCTCTAATAATAAATAAATAAATAAATAAATAAATAAAGTACAATTGCAACTCATAACCTCATACCACATTCCTGAGCTCCTTTTAAGATTAAAAAAGAAAGAAAAAAAAAGAAAGAAATGGATATTGCAAGCAACATTCAAATAGTAGCTGAGATTTTTTTTTTAAAGGATTCTAGGTTAGGAAACAATGGCTCCACTGTGTCAGAAAAAAATACAAACAAGATGAAATGACAAAGTAGCTATATGCACAGATATTATTACAAAGAGAGGAAAATGATATGTGTGCATCAATATAGCCTTATAGTCTATGAAAAAAGGGTCAAATTGATAACCATAAGACAAGATTCAGTTCAGATTAATAAGAAGGATAAAGCAATGTGTTCATTCTTTCACTCAATAACTCTTGCTGACTACTTGATAGAGCTAGGTGCTGTTCTTGCAAACAGGGTCACCTGGCTGATGCAATTCAAAACACCTGCCCTCATGCGGTTCCTCATTATGGGAGAGAACAGTAATACCAGGTCACAGTATAAGTGAACCCCATGTGTGGTGCTCACTCTTCTAGGCCTTACTTGTAACAAACCATTGAGGCAAAAACTAGCATATTAATGTGCCATTTCTAGAAGAGAAAACAAAGAAACAGAGAGATTAGTTTATCCAAGGTCACACAGCTTGCAAGTAGGTGAATCCAGAACCTGCCAGACAATGAACTCCCAGGGTTGTGCTGTGAATCACTTTACCATTCTGTCCATGGTACGAAAGTGCACAGAAGGGTTGAAAGAAAAGTAATAGAAAAAACCAAAGCTCTCTCTACCACAGTTCTTGTCAAGGTAGTGAATTCACACAAGTTACTGTGTCTATTCTCCAAGACCCAACAACAGAGGAACTGAGGACGGAACCCTTGAATAAACAAAATTTTATAAATCAGACAGTGATTGGCCAATTACACAAAATCACTAGGGGAAAGTAAGAGCTGGGGTAGCTGCAACCTGGGAGGGGGCAGCTGACTTACTGATGAGAAGGCAGATTACTCCAAACACACTGGAATTCTGCTCCTTTCTCTCCCCTATCCTGGCTTTGGGACAATTGCTGCAAAATCCAGGGTATGGGCAGGACATGATGTGCAGGTGTCCATGAGGCAAGTGTTGGATAAGCCTCTAGGGCCCACTGGGATGAAGAGACCAGAGGTGGGGCCTCTCTGGCTTTAGATATTCTCATTTCCATTTTTTTTTTTTTTTTGAGACAGAGCCTCAAGCTGTCCCCCTGGATAGAGTGCCGTGGCATTACAGCTCACAGCAACCTCCAACTCCTGGGCTCAAGCGAGTCTCCTGCCTCCGCCTCCCAAGTAGCTGGGACCACAGGCGCCCACCACAACGCCCGGCTATTTTTTGGTTGCAGCCGTCATTGTTGTTTGGCGGGCCCGGGCTGGGGATTCGAACCCGCCACCTTAGGTGTACGTGGCTGGCGCCTTAGCTGGTTGAGCTATAGGCACCGAACCCTCATTTCCATTTTCTTCACTCCACTGTCCCTAGGAAGGTAGATAGATCACAATCCAGGAGTGTCCTGGTCCAATGTTCCTTCTTCACAAAGATCTGAAGATGAAGGGGTGACTTAAGCTGACTTCTTGAGGTGATAAGGAAGTGGGAGTGACTGGTCATGGTTTTAGTTCCTAGGGTGCTCCCCCCAGGGCTTGTCCCCGTCTTTCCTTTGAGCTCAGCAAGCCCCACACAGGCCAGTATCTGCTTTTCACAGAGAAGCCCAAACTCAGGGGAATGTGAGCTCACAGCCCAGAAGACAGGGCTCCTAAGGGGAAAAGCAAACCAATGGAGCCTCAGAGACCACCCAACGCACAAGTAGATCTTAGAACACTTTGATCAAGAATTTAAAGTATGGGCTCAGCACCTGTAGCACAGTGGTTACAGCGCCAGCCACATGCACCGAGGCTGGCAGGTTTGATCCCAGTGTGGATCAGCTAAACAGCAATGACAACTGCAACAAAAAAATAGCCAGGTGCTGGGGAGGGCACCTGTAGTCCCAGCTACTTGGGAGGCTGAGGCAAGAGAATCGCTTATGCCCAAGAATTTGAGGTTGCTGTGAGCTGTGACACCACTGCATTCTACCGAGGGTTACATAGTGAGACTTCGTCTCAAAAAAAAAAAAAAAAAATTTAAAACTACAAACACTAAATGCACTAAAAAAGTTAAGTGTTAATATTAGCACAAGAACAGGCATAAAATATTTACATCAATCAGAGAGTGCATTTGTCAAATGCCTGTGAGCCATAAATAAGAAATGATATAATTAAGTACTTAATACAAAAAGGTCCAGGTAAAAATACTGTATCTACAAAACATAGTAGGGAGAACCCAATGGATGAAAAGAAGAATAGAATGAATATAACTCTGAGGGAAAACTAGTGAGTTGGAAGGGCCAATTAAAGTAACTCCTAAAAGGAAGTAGGGTAGGTTAAAAAAAAAAAAAAAAAGGTTGATTTAGACAGAGGACAGAAATAGAAAGCTTCAGTATTCAGGTAGCAGCAGTCCTAAGTGGGATGAGAAGGAAATAGAAAATAAATAGTGTTTCAAAAAAGTCGTAGAAACGAAATTTCCAGAATTAAAGAAAGATAAACAACCTCAGCTGAAGGGGCAAGAGAAAAGATGAGGGAAATGCCACCGCTAGATACGGTATAGTAAATCTTAAAAACATCATATCCAAAGAGAAAACTGGAAAGGTTGTCGGGGGGAATGAATGGACTACCTACAAAGACGTGAGATTCAGCATGACATGATTTCTTATGGCAATACTAGATGCCAGAGACAGTGAAGTTTAAGGAATCAAAGGAAAATCACTTTGATCCTAGAATTCTGACTGGTCAAGTGAAATTCACATGCAAGGGCATAAAAAAAAACTTCAGACACACAAGTCCT